CTATATGTCCATCTCATTCTTAGAGAGAGAGAGAGAGAGAGAGAGAGAGAGGGCTAAAGCACTGGAATGGATCGGCAATCGAATCACGTTATAAGTGAGACCTTCCAGTCCTACAGTCCTATCCCTACAACTATTTTTGCACACAATTCTTGAGTAAAAACTGATTCAAATTCCTGAGCCATACATGCGTTGGGAATGAAGAATAAACTAAGAAACTCTCAATACATGCGATAAGGGGTTTACTCAATGCTCAATGACTTTATATCCAAAGTATACCCAAACCAGAGACTGAAACTTAATGTTAAGCTTATTAATGAATGTTAAGTAATACTTGTTTTCGCAACAATAATAACATTCTCTCTCACTATTTATTATAACTTGTTATTAGAACCCAATTCTCCATTAATTATGCTTTTGTTTCATTAAATATCCTTTTGTTTTGTTAATACGATAATTGAATTATCATATAAATTGAATCAAACAATTAATACACTCTTTAATTATAGAAATTGTTGAGCGTTTGACTGAAGTCATATGGTAGTAAATCAAATGAATAAGATGCTTTATTGTATTTTATACAGTTGGAAATAGTTTTTATTCTCACATTTAATTTAGCACAAAGAAAAGTGTAATAAATAAATAATATATAATATTAATTAAGCGATTGGTATTGGAATTAATTGATTATTTAGTAGAATAGCATTAATTTATAAATTGATTTTCCTATTCAGACATATAATGATAATAATTGTAAAAAGTATTTTATGCAGTATTTAATCAAAGAAATGAATGGATTTTATTTGCAAATTATATTCACAACTCATTTATGAATACTATTATGTTATTGTATTGTTATATAACACAACACAACAGACAATGTATTCATGCGTTAAGAATATTCTGTAACGAATTAAATCAAATTTAGGACATCGTATATACAGTACACTATACTGTATGCCATCTGAGAGTTGAGTCCAATATCTAGATATCACACAAAAATAGCGAAACACGAGTGAAAAAACTGTTTAAATCCCAAATGTCTTTATATAAGTTATTTCAAGTCTAGTGTTTACGTAAAACACATTTTTGCATATATTTTACTCTAAATTAAATTAATTTTAGTGTTCAATGCACACAAACAAACACTCATTTTAGTAAATTATATACTTTATGATAACAATAATTATATACAACTTCTGTAATACCTTCAAAACAATAATATTATGCAATAAAATCTCGTACAAATCTCATGAACCGTCTTATAATTCAGTCTCTCTCTCTCTCTCCCTCCCATACAAAAAATAAGTTTTATATATTTTGTCACAATATTACTACTTTACGTAATTTTCTGGTATATTGGCTGTCATTTTGTTTCAGTTTTTCATATTTAGACACAAATTTAATTTATATCCAAATAACTCATTTGAAGCGTAAAATCAAATCATTGCTCCAATGGCTGTGTTATTGAATTGATTTTTATGGAAAACTAATCGATAATATTATTTTGCGAGACAAACTAAATCATATTTTATACACTTGTTTTTAGAGATAATTATATACACTTTTCTTCCCTCTCTTTCTCTCGTCGATACAATAGTATTGTGTTTATAATATCGACAATACTTTATACACCACTTCTTTACAGTCGCTGTTTATTCTTATATTAATATTAACTGTTTGTCACAAGAATTGACTTTTTTTCTGCTGAATAGCAGCTGTTATTACTTGCGATACAAGTATTGGACACAAGAAAAAAATATAATACAATATATGAGTTGTAATAAACAAATAGTAAGGAAGAGATTGTATACTAATTCTAAGAGTAATGTTCTTTACGGGAACATGAGATGAGGAAAAGTATAATATTTAAGTCAGACTTATATATGTATTGAACAGAGAAACCAAAGGTCAATGAGTAGGAGAGTATAGTTTGCCGATTGTATTAACAAATAATCACATATTTATATTTATCAATACAGTAGTCGACGTCTATATTGTTGTAGATATTGACAGAAATAATGGCATTTAGATATGCAATGCAATACCCGATCACTTCCGGAGGCCATTCTCTCTATCGCTTATTGAGAGATGAAGAAGAAGTGGTCATCTGTTTGTCTATTTGTTTGGACGACTCATCACAAGAATCTCTCAGAACTTGATTTAGAAAAATATGATATCAAATGCAATAACTGATAGAATGTGCCAAAAGAAAGTGAAGGATTAGCTTATTATATGTTTTCAGTAGACGTTGAGAGAGAGAGAGAGAGAGAGAGAGACTGAATTATAAGACGGTTCATGAGATTTGTACGAGATTTTATTGCATAATATAGAGACTCTTGTGTTGCAAATAAGATGTGTGGAGAGGGGGTGTCAGCGATAGCCAGGGGGTAGACATTGAAGAGAGAGAGAGAGAGAGAGAGAGAGAGAGAGAGAGCAACTGATATTTGCCTTTTCTCTCACATATAATTGTATTAAAGTTTTTACAAATATTATATACAAATAATGAAATTGGATTAGACTATAGTATTAATTACATTAATGCCAAAAGTGTTCACTTGATATACGTTTTTTAGTAATGAAGAAATATAGACAATGTATTCAGCTTTTGGATCAATAGATATTTATTACTTACTTCTAGAGTAGACTATACTATAGAGTAGTGTTGTCTGTCTTTATGTCATATTCTGTTCTCTATTGAGAGAAGAAAAACTAAGAGAATATTTGTGTTTTTAAATCAAATAAAGAATTCAATATATTTGAAGAATTTTACCAAATATATAGTTGCAGTGAATTTAACCATAAATTTAAAATTAATCAAATACTGGTATAAATGTTGCTCTTTAAACAGAAATCAATGACAGAAAATAGAAAAAACTAATATATATTTTGATTAAAAATATAAATGAAAACAAACATAAATAAAAAATTGAAAATAAACGGATGAAAAGAAATATTTTTTTTGCAAACATTATTTTGTATTAAAAACAAAAACGTTTTGAATTTAAAGAATTTTCAGCTTTTGATTCACATATTTTGAATTTCAAGAATAAATTTCATTTTAAATGCAATGGATTTTATATTTGGATATTTTCTAATATTTTTAAACGATTTTTTCATTTAAAAGTATTTATTACAAGATATAAAATATACAATAATTTACATATAAATGTTTAATAATTGTTTATTTAAATCTTAACTGCAATATCCAGTACTGCTTATGAATTTATAATATAAACAATACTGATATCAATTGAATAAATCATATAATTTATCTGATAAACCGATGGGAAACCGATTGAAGTTATATGAGTTTTACTCTTCTTATCATTTCTATTGATTATTGATTAACAAAACAAGATTTGTCACAAAAATCGTTATTTGCGATATTGTGCTCACATATAATCGCATAGATATAACTTTAATTCAAGCCAATAAATTGTTATCATAAACGTTGCCTTGTATTGAGTCGGATATTGTGGTACATTTATATCCGTTATAATTTATATTTACTCTCGTATCGCTATTTATGTCAATATCTGAATAAATATCACACCAATAATACTTAATACTGTATATCAAACTGAAACACAATTTATTAATTTTGTGTTTTTGAATAATTTTGCCATTTTATTAGATTATTAGATTCAATGTATTTATTCATTGTTATGTTCTCTATGTTTGTCTATTTTATCGATTATTTTATGAACAAAATTCATATATTTTATGGTCATCTTTAGAAATATTATGTAATCAAAGAACTGAATGTCCTTTTGTTTGACAAAAAATACATTAAATAAAAAAACTTCATATTTGTTAAGACACAACACAGACATAAAGATCAGCAAAAAAAACTAAAGACAATCCCTAAGAATATCGATTCAAAATATTACATTACATTACATATCGAGATATACTGTACAGTGAGTTATAATCTGTAAGAAATATCTGATATATCGCTTTTCTGCTTATAATCTAATTTATTTGACTATTAATTCTATATAAATACTGAAATTTATATGAATCCATGTCTAGACTTACACAACTCATATCAAAAGTGATGCTAATATATAGTTGTAAATAAAAATACTTGTATTAATATATAATCATTGGATTAAAAAAGACGAAAACGAATAAACACTATAACAAATGGCTTACATTTGATTCACACCATTATATTAACATCAAAATAATATTTAGTCTCTTTGGTGATGGGGTTTGGGATAGTTTTTATTGTTAAATACTTTTATACTTTTTATGGCATATAATATATAACAGGAATACAATTCCTGATAACGTGATCCGCACTTAGAATTATAGTTTAATTTCTAGTTTTGCTCTTAAATCAAAATCAGTTGGATTTCCATAACATTCCTCTGGCTTTCACTACAATTGAATAAAAAATAATATATAAAAATAGCATTTAATGGAATATCCAGTGGTTTTTCACAGAGTTTATTATCGAAAATTAACATTAAATTCAATCATTAATAAAAATAATTTTCATTAAGTTTTGTCGAGTAATAAATAAAATAATTTCTGCATTAAATTACACAACACTTTGCAAAACGAAAAGGAATTTATTGATTAAAATAACGAAATTTTAATAAAAACATTGATTTTTTGCATTTTTAAAAGAAGTCTTTTTATTAAAGTTAAAACGTCTAAAAAAATTGTTTTTTATTTTTATGGTTTGGTTTTAGTGTTTGGGTTTTGGATTTTTATATACAAAAAATCTAAAATCCTATGAAATTATTTTCACATCAGAAAACAATAAATAAATTTAAAACACAAATAATAGTTTTAAAATACAGTACTCTTCAATAGTGGTTATAAAATGTTATTTTTAATACACATTCAAAATCAATATACAGTAAATGATCAAACATTTTCTGTAAATTATTATATTTATTTTCTCATAGATAATATTGATATTAGCTTTTTATCAATCGATATTTAATATAGAAATCAACCAAGCAAACAAATATACACTTAAAATAATCATGTTGGTTAATATTTACGTACAGATGTTGTTTTAAATAAATGTTTTGTTGGTTTATATGTGAAAAGTCTAAAGTCATAACAAATTTCCTAAAATATTGTTTATGAATGCAATCTATATCTGCTTTTTTGGACAAAAATATTATAATTTTGATAATCATATATCGATTGCGTGAGAAACACATTTCAGACACCTTTGACTTTATTAATGATTCAAAATGTTTGCACACTTTTGCACGTAATTCCCGAAACACTGCAAAATATTTTGCATATCTCGCCATATATTTAGCACAATTTATTATTGAATTCAATGATTATTATTGATTACTTTTACACACATTTTGCGTTTATAATATTATTCTTGATAAATACTAATACATTATATTTATTAGAAATATGCTCATGCCTTATACGAGCTTTATATAAATTAAACAGATATTTAATTCATAAACATTTATTATTTTTATAGTATTATTATATTAATATAAATAATATAAATATTAAAGTGAAATAAATAAAAATATATCATCAAAACTAATGAATATTTTTCTGTTTGTTTTTAATATTAGGCTGAATATGATTTACAGCAAAGAGACGTTTGGATTTCATATCATAAATACATTAATGCATTCAATTGTTGTCCTTTTGATGGCTTATATGACAAGAAATGAACTCAACTTTAACTTTGAACTCACATTACTTTCTGGTCTACTCTTCGCCACACATCCCATACACTGCGAAGCCGTACTTATCTCTCTCTCTCTCTCTCTCTCTCTCTCCTCTTTTTCTATACATTCGTCAGCAAAATATAATTTAAGAATATAAAAGAAAAGTTAATAAATTATATTAAATATAAACTAAAATATCTGCAAACAGTTTATGCATTAAACAGAAAATTTTGCCAAAATTAATTAACAGGAAAAGCATTTACAAACTACTATATAAAATGAAATTTCATTTTTTAAATTTTTAGTTTATTAAAAAAAACTAACAATAATTTATAAATACAACAATTAGTTGAAAATTAAATTATCATAAAATGTTGTTATTTTGCAGACACTATCTATTTTTTTTGTAAATATAGTGTTTTATTTTATATAATATTTATTATGTTTTTAAATGCATCGATAGTTTGGTTAACATTTAAGGTGATTGTGATAAATTATATAATTTTTAATATCTGTTATGTGTTTCACTTTAATAGTGTATGAAATATACGGTACAGTAATAATGCATTAACTGTTATATTGGTAACAGAGTTGTTAGTAATAATATAATCAAATAATTATTGAATGAATGATAATATATTATATTTTTGATTAGATTCTATCATATAATTATCAAAATATTATTATATTTAGTACATCACTAAAGTATCTCATTTTAAGCTATTATAAAATTATTAAAACAATACATCAAATAATTGAATTTAATACTATATAATCTGCACTTTAGAAATAAATAGCTACAATTTTCCATGATGAATTGCGGTTAAAAACGATCATGACACTTCACTATCAATTTATAAAAATATATAAAATTAGGAAAAATCATATTTATTTATATTAAACATAATGTTATGAAAAGCAGAATTGATTTCAGGGAAAACAAAAGGAAACACAACACACGAGAGAATGTAATCATAGATATAGTGAAGGCATTGAATGCATTCTTTCAGTCGATGAAACATAATTGAAACTAAAGACTACAGAATCCGCACAACAAAAAAAAGAGCCAGAATTTAGTCGAGAGTTTGTGTAACACAAGTGTAAAGTAGTTTAACGCCTCGACGAACCCATTCATCCGGTGTTGATATAGTAGTAGTCGTTTTTTTCTCTGTGGCTCTCAATCCATGTGACTGTGATTTTTGAATCAATTCATTGAATGTATTAAAACTGTTAGATTCCGCAACACATTCGTCACATTCATTCAATTTAATGCACTATTATATATGCTTTTATGAGTAAATTTTTAATTTAATTTTTTACTTTCCTTTTCACGCAATCAATCAAATGGAAAATTTATTCATTGGATTTGATTTGCAATTATCATACACTCTATACGAGGGCAGCATTTTTTCTGTTTGAATCCCTCGTACTGTGATTTATATTGGAATTAATTAAGTCTCGAGAATACTTATTAGGATTACTTTGAATGCATTTCGATTAATACAAAAAATTAATTAAATTTGTCACTCATTTGAATATTCAGATAGTTGCTTTTTTATGGCACTTCTATTTATTTACAATTATTTGATTTAAGTAACAATATCTTGAATATTGATTCAATTTTCACGAAAAAACATTTGGTATAGAATTTAGAAAATTATATTTTGCTGACAAAAACAAATATTTCTGAACAGAAACACAACGAAAAAACATCACAAGAATTAAATTAAATGCCAAACATTTGCGTATTGAAGCAAATTCTTGTCGGCGTTTTGTTATTGTTGTTGTTTCTGATCCGACGCTTACGTCCGAGAATTCAAGTGTTTTGTGTGTTGTTTATTGTGTGACAAACAGGTCTCGAGTCTCGTCGGAAGAGCCGATATCTTGTGCTGTATCTTCTATTTGGTCTCATTCCTAGCCTTCGCTAAGTAAGTCCTTTTCAAATAACAATTGTATTTATTTCTCTCTCCACTGAAATTTGGTCTGTTTTTTGGTTGTATTTTGTTTTTGCTTTTTTTGACTCTGTGTTGCACTTCTTCTCTGTGTTATATCAATCGTATAGTGGAGTAGGAATTGTCTGAATGACACCAATTATCTCAATGACAAATGACATTAAAGCGCAACGAAGAACAAAGAGATTTACTTTTGCTCTTGTTTTTTGGTTGCTTTCTCTTACTCTCTGTCTTGACCTTCTCTTCGCTAACAACACAAACCGGTTATTGATATATAAATCCTGTGTCACAACACCTGAATCTATCACACCGTTAGGAATCAATTAAAGCAATCAAAATAAATAGTTTAGTAGTAGTTCTTCGCGATTATATGTACACTCCGACAGTCAATCCCATCTAAATAACAAATGTCATTGCTTTTAAGCAACAGTAGCCCAGAGTCTGTGCACTTTCTTTCTGTCTGTCTGTCTCTCCCTTTGCCGGAAGTTTTATTATTTTTTTCTTCACTAAATCAATAGTTTATTATAAATCGATTTCTTCAATATTTTTATTTCCTTTTGAATAACAATATAAAAGCAAAAATTCAATTAAATATTTGTTTTCATTTGATTTATAGATCACTTCATTGTCCGGTTGTAAATAAATCGATGATTTTGTCTTTGATTATTTGCCAAATATCATCAATATTAGCGCTACTGTCCAAAGAGCAGGGCATCACTGTATTAGGCGTCTGTATTGTCTACTTTTTTATCGTTAGGAGAAAATGCCTTAAAATGCCTTTCAAGTGAGTTATCAATCAATTATTGATTTTCTATTATTACACTATTTATAACTCTTTTATATTTATTAACGAGTTTTCTCGAGAATCACTTAATATTATTATCCAATGTTGTCATTAGTCTTATAATTGAAAATACAATAGACCTGAATATCATATTATATTTTTAATGTAATTTTTTAGTATAAATAAATATTATATCAAAGTTGTCGTAATTATTAATAAATAAAAGTTATAAACATAAAATATATTAATAGCTTGAGATTTTCTCATTAACTTATGATAATTTGTTCAAACTTTGAACACATCAGTGCTTCAAAATGTAATTATTTTTAGCAAATTATAACTTAATTATAGCTAAACATAATATACTGTAATCTTATGAGTGATTTTAATATATAAAAATCTAGTTACCCGTCAAATACAAATATCATTCTCAATGGTCTCCGCCTCTCCGCCTTTCAACAAAAAACTCAATATTTCATAGTTTTTTGTCAAATAAGATATCCTTTTACTAAAATTAAATTTTCATTCAAATCTCTATTAAAAGTCTAATTATTATCATTTTAATAACAAGACATCTATGATTAATACACTATCAAAACCGTGACAATGATTTCCATTTCACACGTCCCGTACTGTATATAATTAAGTAGACGTTAAACTAGACATTGTTTTGTTTAGTCTCTCTCTCTCTCTCT